AGGTTGCGGGTTCGAGTCTCGTACCGGCAGGGATTGTAGGTGGGGGGAGTGAATGTACAGCTCTCTCCCACCTTCAATAAATACCACGACTGAGGTGCCCTTGAGCAAGGCACCGAACCCCCAACTGCTCCCCGGGCACCGCAGCATAAATGGCTGCCCACTGCTCCGGGTGTGTGTTCACGGTGTGTGCACTTAGGATGGGATAAATGCAGAGCACTTATTCCTAGTATGGGTAACCATACTTGGACACATGTCACATCTAGGGATGGAACGATTATTTTGAAATTTTGCAATTTTGAAAACTCGCGGTAAATCCTGTCCAGCCAGCATCAGTCTGACGCAGAAGCAGCATGCAATGTTGTTGTTGTTTTTTGCACAAGAGGAAATGGCGGAAGGCAGTGACAGCGCTCGGAAGATTTTTCAGCCATCTAAGAGGACCAAATTGGTGGTCTGGTCGTATTTTGGCTTTTACAAGAGTCCTGAAGGCAATTTAATCAAGGACGGTCACCCTGTCTGCCGATCTTGAAAGAAGAAAGTAGCTGCAAAAGGGGGAAACGCATTAAATTTGCTCAGTTATCTTCGTGACCACCACCCACTGTTATATAGCGAATGCAAAGTAACTTTTACCTCAATACCAAAACTAACTGGGCAAATAATTGGACAAAAAAAATATTGATTCGAGATTAAATATTTCGTTCTCTCACTTGTTTAACGCAAAGCTTCCACGAAGAAAAGTTCTCAGCAAGTGGCTTTGAGCCAAGACGAACGAACGTTCAAACTATAAGGTTGACATTTAAGGGATAATGTATTGTATATTCATAGTTAACTTATTACACAGATTTTTTTTTTGTTATAATAATATATAAATACGGGGATATGAAATATTGAATTGAGATTAATGTTTTGAAATCTTACCTGTTTATAAATCCATTATGAACAGTGTACAAAAAAATCGTCAGGACAATATGATCACTACAGCAAAATTATAGTAGTATTAATACTAAATTCCTGATTTCATTTTCAATACAATCAAAAACTGAGACGTAAGCCGGCAAGCTGCATTTGAATGAAACGAGAGAGCACATCCGCACCTCCGCGGTGATACAAGAGACATGGGGCGAATTCCAAACAGAAGTGAGCATCCCTATGCCCTACTCCCTTTGAAGGGCAGAGCCCTTGAAGTGTGTTCTTTGAAGGGTGCACGGTATTACTGTCTCGTATAGGTGTTTGGAACTCCCTTTGCGAAGGGAATGACTGACCAAATGTTACCTTGACAACGCTGCGCGTGCGTGCAGCATTCAGTACTCCATCAGTTGTTGCAAATAAATATTTATTATTATTATTATTATCACAAGATCTCCTAACCGAAGATCACATGATCACCACACACGCGTTAATTTAATGTTTTTGCTAAAAAAATAAAAAATAAAATAAAAAAAAAAGTGCCTATAGCTGCTAATTGTATTTGTTGATTTTCAAATATAAAACTTAATGAAATGTTTTCAGTGTGTATCAGTTCTTTTTGAACGTTTATCTAATTTTAACAAAACAGTGATAATATTGATAATCGTGATAACTTTGGTCACTATAATCGTGATATGAAATTTTCATACCGTTACATCCCTAGTCACGTCACTTCAAATAGTTTCTCACCATTTTTGGGTTCAGGATTTTTGGACAGGCCTGAAATCATGTCTCGATGACGCAGTGGAGCCACTGAGCATGAGCGCACAAACTTCAGTGGTTCGTCCGCTCAATCACGAGTTACTGCTATTACCGTTAGTTACTACAGCCTACAGTTTGCTTGCTAGCTATGCCTTAGTCACGTAAATGCATGCATGGCTGTGTAAATCCAATTAATCTGCTAGAAGGAGTATCCATTCAGGTTGTAGCAGTATTTGACAGTTGAGAGAGCTCACAGCTTTCCTGTGAGTGGGCATGGTTTCAGCACTGACAGCATTTGAGAGCAGAGAACACTGCTTATTTTTTCAAGATTGATAACTTATTTTAATTTACTTTTATCATTCAAATTTGGCTGGGTGGTTAGCCTTTTTCTGTGGTGTGACAAAGTCCATGTAAAGCAATATTAAATGTGTTCGGAGTTTAACATTGTTCCATGCAATGACCGCATTTCAGCATTGTATAAATTCTCTTCAAGACTTTCTTACCGCATGGTTTTTTTCTGGATGTTCTTTATTTCCGCAACATAGCTGGCTGCTCCGGTGATTGTCTGGAAAGCCATATTAGGGTCAACCTGACCCCAGATCTTAGAACCAAGTCGGTCCAGAATTACCATAAAACAGTGAAGGGCTGGCCAGAATGGGTCAGAAGCTGGATTGTCCTCTGAAAAACACAATGGAACTTTTTAAGAGGACCAATTTTAATCTACTTTATCCCATCACATCATGACAAGCACATCATGGCATACCATTTTTCAACCCTTCCATTGTGTTGAGTATGCAAAGTGGGATGTTAAACTGTCCCATGAACAGGGAGTCCATTGCCTCAGCGCTGAGCTGTGTTAGTAACATACAGATACCTGTAGGGCACAAAAGAGCATGACTTCAAAAAGGTGACACTCACCAAGTGATGAACAATGAGAACCAATTTTGCCAATTCCAGGTCAACCTGACACCATGTCATATACAGCAAGTTTCAAGATTAACATGCACCCGATTAAGACAGTGTTACACTTATTTTACAGTAGGTAGACACTAGAGCAAACCAATTCCTCTCTTTCAAAGATCCAGTTTCTATATTAACTCTTTCACTGCCACTGACTAAATTTTTAGGCAATCCATGTTTTCACTGGCAGGGGTGCTATTACGCATCTAAATAAAAATGGCAAATAAAATGTTGAACCCATTAAGAGGTAAAGGACCGTGTAAACTTTGGGGTATTGAAGAAACAAAAAGAAAAGAAAAAAAAAAAAAGTGCCGACAGGGAAAGAGTTAACCGCAGGATGAAATCTGTCGAACAGAAGAACATAAACTTAACAGGAAAGACTGCTGTCTAGCTAGAGTGAGAAAAACCAAAATCTCAAATTGTAAAAGTTTAGTAACAAAAGGAAAGGCCACTATGAAAAGAGGATTTGGAGAAAACTAATAAACCGACCTAGCCAGTAGTTCTTCTTATTTTGCGAGTCATAGAGGTGAGAGGGCAGCATTTGTACAACGCCCCCTGCATAAGACTCTGGCTCCAAATCTGGAAAGTCCAAAGATATTCCAAGCTCAATGATATAAAACATGCAAAAGAAAATCTCTTTAAGGTCATAGTAGGTGTCCCGGTCCACACTCTTCATGGTCTTTGCTGTATCGATTGCCCAACGGCGCACCTGAAGCGGAAAGGTAGAATAAGGACAATTACCAAAAAAGGACCAGCTTAACATGAAATGGCTTTTTGACAGAATTACCTGTTCGTTGGGATGAACGAGAAGCAGATATGTTCCTTGATACTTCTCAAACACAGTCAAAGACTGCTTCATATCCTGCAACTTACACAAGGCCTTTACCACCAAATCACCTGTAGAGAAAGAAAATATAGAAAAGCACTAGTCACACTTGTTATTATAAGCTTTGGTTCTGATTGGTAAATTGTGGCATTCTGCCAAATATTTTTTTGTATGAGAGCTCAAATATATAATCAAGTACCATCTGCGTTGGATGTCTGTATCACTGTCAGGGTTTCTTTTTAAAATAACGACTAGCCGACTCTACATTATTTTCCATGTTGTGTCATCTGACTTTGATTACTGTGTATTTCTACTGTTGACCATTTAAACCACTACAATATCCCCTGAGGGATCATTTACTCCGTAGTCAACTAACATGTAAGCTTGCGCTAGACATAACGTCAAACCACATGGTTAGCGCTTCGATGCCTTTATTAACAGAGGGCTAAGAATATAACAGAAGAAAATATAATGGACAAAAAGCAGAGATGCCAGCTGACCATCTGAATTGGTCTCTTTCCAAGCTTCCATTCTTATAGGGTTTCGTTATCAGTCTCGGTCCAAGAAGCATATTAGCCACGCTTTAATGCATGTCACTCCCTTTGCTTTCCAAAATTATTTATTAGCTCTCTCGATTCTTCTTTAATTGTGGGATTTTTTTAACCCTCTCCAGGTGCCCAGAGGCATATATTTTACATATGAGCCGTCAAGGTTTTAATAATCTTTGCATGCAGTGTGCACATCACACAGTCTTGCACCCTTCATACACAATCTCATTCATGTAGGCCACGAGGCCTTTAAAACGCATACACTCATGAGATCAAAACAACATCTACAAATGTCTTCTATAAAATTTCATCAGAATTGTAACCACCCGCTACAACACACGAAATGAGGTTGGATATGGGAGCGTGACTTACACAGATCACGGTAGCAAAGCAGGTACGGATACTTCAGAACTTCAAACAGCGGGAAACGGAGACGGTCGTGGAATTCTGCAGGCGAGATCTTCGACACCGGCTCCTCGTGATCATCTTCGATAATAAAGATATCGTCCTCCTCCAGCTCCTGGTCCAGAACGGTTCCCAACAAACGCACGAGTCGAGCTTTCTCCATTTCCCACAAACGCTGCAAGAGAGTGAGAATTAGTGTCTATGAAGTCACATGCAAGCTCAAAGAACACAACATTTACCATAATGCATTTACCAGACGCTTTTATTTAAAATGACTTCCAAATGAGGAACTAAAGCAATTAATTTATAAAGCCAACAATATTCATAACATACAATGCCAGTTTAATTAGACAACTAGATTAGAAAGCAAGCTAAAGAAGAGATGTGTGGAGTAGAAACATGGCAAAAACAACACCAAGGTCTTCTGTTCAAGAAATGCATGTGCTAATAAAATGTATAATCTTGAATGCAACAAGCTGCTTTGAATGAAAGTCTACTAAATGCATAAATGTAAAAGCATAATTTGGGATTTCCATTACTAGAACACATACACTCAACATGTGGTTTGTCTTAACGATTACCCATCTATTCAATCTCTCCTGAACGTCTATCATGATTGTGCATGTAAATAAGGAATCGTTACATCTTGGTTATATTGTATTGAATTGGTGACACCACATTGGAAAAACGGTCATGAATCCAATTAATCATAAAAACTTCCTGCACTGAAACAAGCATTTATTTTTGGCAGAACATAAAAATAACATTGACATGGATATTTTTGACTTAATCTGCTATAGATAACTTAGAAGTCCAGACTACTTGAGACGGATTTAGTTATAGCATTCACTTGTTCCATTTACTTCCATGGCTGTTGTTAAAAACGCACTTTTGACCTTCCTAGAGCATAAATTTCAGCATTTTGAATTAAACACAGAAGGCACGCGTTTCTATGCAAGTTTGTTGTGATTGGAACAACTTGAAAGTTTGGTAGTGTGCGAGATCGACTCGTGCGTTTGTTGGGAACCGTTCTGGACAAGGAGCTGGAGGAGGACGATATCTTTATTATCGAAACAAACATTTTTCGCATTTCTATTTGCTCCAAAACCAGAAAAAAAATTAAAGTCAATGATAGTGTTTCTATGACGTCCCCCCCAAAAAATTAAATAAAAAAAATAAATATCAAGAAACCGATTATGGTTCTTTTTTTATGATTATAACTTGAAATTGATTAGATGCCAACTCTGCCGTCATTCCCTCAGTTGCTCTTTAGGTTCACATGGCCTTCAACATTCTTTTGATAAAAAAAAATAACAAGGCAAATACACAGAATAATCACTTTGTGATAAATTTAAATGTTCTGACAGACTAGTTGGCAGTCTGCCACCCTTAAAAACAGGAAGGACGGAACAAAATAGCCAATTAGTTAGGCTAACACAATGGCAGGAGAATTAGGGAGTACTGGGGAGATAACGGAGGAGAAAAGGAGAACACCTGCAATGAAATCATTGCTTAAAAATGTCAGTGTAAATAGCAAGCGAGATGGTCAGATGATCCGCAAGCATTTCAAATTTGTTGTCTCCAACAAATAAAGTCCGATTTTGGCATCTGAACTCTGCGACTTGAGTGTTTCATGCAGAAAAGAGGCAGTTTCCCCAAAGAATTCACAATGTTAAACAGTGGAAACCGGTTACAGTTTGTGAAAAGGGCCCATACAAGAGGATTCTTGGATCAGAATTTAACATTTTCCATGTCTTTACACAGCTGCTCTGTGCCTGCTCAATTCTGCATAAAGACAGACAAAATTAAGCCTGCTTTGACCCACCTCAGTATGCAAGTAAACCTCCGAACCTCATTAAATGGTCCGTGTTAAGATGAAATGAAACTTCAGAAGCACTTTGTTCCACCTTTGCAGAGCAAATTTGGAAGACTTTTGCTTGCGGTGTTTGCGTACCTTGTGCAGATCAGGGACCTTGTCTCTGGCTCGATGATACTCCACCACACACTCCAGACAGCAGCTGAGGTCTTCATTCAGAGAGTCCATCTCTCGCTCAGACAGCCGTCCTGAGCTGTAGCGACGCAGCATTGCGACGATCGCCACGTCACCCTCCACCTCCAGGGACGTGGTGCACCACAGACACTTCTCCATCACGATCACCTGTGCACACACAGACACGGACCACTTAATGGAACACAATCTTAAAGGATCAAGGAATCTTCTCCATGCGTTTCTACAGCATTCCTCTCTCCTCATTCTCCAAAATGCCTTCATGCATCTTTTTAGCAGGTCATTACACATTGATTACACAAATACAATTTTCATAGCACTTAAGTTAAATACATTCTCAATCATAGATTTCAAAAATAACAGTGGATTAAAGGGATGTGTCGTGTTTAGGATAAACTGGATTATGCACTTTCCCCGTGTAGTGTCATCAGCCGCTGCTCTGAGGAATCACACTCAGTCTTGGGGTTTTGTTTCCAGAAGTTAGACTTTGCTGAGAACTTCTCTGCTTTGTTCAGTTTGAAATAGAGAAAAATCTCCAGAATGTTTTTCTGCCTCTCTTTTTATACAGTTTTGACTTTAAGGCGTGGGGTATACATGTCATAGTGTTTTCCTTATACATACAATTCGATTCCTCCCTAGAGAGAAGGGGGGGCCCCCCCCCCCCCCCCGTAT